CCTCTCGGGGATAGTTGTCCAAACGACGCGCAATAGGCCTTCTTTACACAATTATATATAAAATTCTCACAAATTCTAACACACGACCTACTGTTGCGCGCTTTGTCCGCGTCGTCTCCAGCACTCGCACGGTCTCCTTCGCGTCGCCCGTAAGTCTACACGCTTCCTCGCACAGGCGATCGTTTTGCTGTGCGGTTTCATGCGGGTCGTCCCGTCGCCTGGGCTATCTTGCGCTCACTGATACGTGTCTTGGCAGTAGCCTGAGCTTCTCTCTTGCGTGCCCAATATGCGTGACTATAGGCATTTTTTAGCAATCTTCCTTCATTCGCATCATTCCCATCCCCTTCAATTGAATCCTTGTCCTCAAGGATGATAGATTAAAATCGTTCTCACATTACGTCCAGGTGTTCCCATGTCGAGTCTTATTTCGACAATCCGTCCCATTCAATTAAGACTTCCCAATAGAACGCAAAAATAAGCTGCCCATATGAAGTGGTTGCCAAAAGACTTGACCCCACCTTGTGCGCCTTGCCTAAACTTCTCTTCAGTTGCGAGACGTGTATGACTGGATGAATATTTGATTCTTCTGGTAAGTCGAGCCAATATGTAACATTTTTGATGTGCTCCATCACTTGGTAAGGCCCGTAGTAATGACTCCCGAGCTTACGCTCCGCCTTTTGTGTAAACCGTACGTTGTCTAAATGGCGCTGGGTTCTGTGAGGAACATTGTCCTCGTGCACATTCAAATCTATTGAAAATAAAACCTAACGTAACAGAATCTGTTGTTAGGATAGGACGTACGGTTTAAATTTTTTTTGACTCCGAGACGTTTCTGATTTTCGCTATTGGAGATCGTCTGAACCTAAGAGTGTCGGGTTTCTGGACTAGGCCTCACCATCACTGGAACTCGATCGTGTATCGCATCTCGCATCTCCAGTCGCTTGCCGCTTGCATCGAACCATTTCGGACTGCCGGTAGCTAAGTTGGACTGGACCAAGCTGGGGCATACTGGTCACGTCTGGGCTAGTTTGGTACAGTGGTGGCCGAGACATCTCGCGCGTTGGTCGAGAGGTTGGATGCACTGCTGCTGAGTCTGCACGGGTCTGTTGTGCTGAGGCGCCGAGAATTCGTGCGCAGAGAGACCTAGGTCTCCTTGGGCACTGCGTGTACGCAGAACATGCGGAGCGTGCTAGCCGGTCACGCGGACGGCACGTGGGCCGTACTGGAGCTGGGAAGATGTCATGCGGGCTGTGCGTGTGATGGTCGAATGCTGCGCGCTGGTCACGCTGTGTGCATGGATCGCGCGCGGTCTGCCCAAGCGATGCACTGTCTACAAGGTGCCTGCACAGCCGTGTGCGGATGGTGCTCGAGCGGCGCGTGGGCTCCGGCGCTGACGGGTACGGCTACGGCTGGTGGTCTTGGGCACGCCAGCGGATGCATCTCCCTCCAACGGTCGTGATCTCCAAGTTTCGTGGCCATCCGAGGTGCTGCGGAGCTATATATATTCGATGGGATGCATATACATACTCATCTAGATACGAAAACAAATCCTTGAGATCTTCTGTTGTATGACCTTTATACCTTCTCTGATCAATCTTGGTGGAGCGATTAATCAGAACTCCCGAGCCTCACGATCTTTCCTTATTATGACCTCTTAGTTTTATTTGAATTTTCCTAAGAGAAGAACTCTTGTTCTTCACTTTAAAAACTCACAATGGGAACTCTATTTTCTCATGCAATTTTTCACATTGGAATATCGTAAGGGAGGCTAGGGGATTTGGTGTATTTATAGGCTACAACAGAGACCCTAAAGAGGTGCTAAGTATGGGTCTAACTATGGGCCAAACCTACTCTGCTCATACTTGAATAATAAATCATTCCACTAGAGAAAATTTATTGCACTCTCCATTTAGCTCTGAGTTATAATTAATTCGTTTCTCTATTTATTGCTCAATTTACATCCCCGTATTTAAGATACGCCCGTTGATTAATTAAATTACTGACAATATAATTAATCAAATTTTCGAATCCGAAACTAGTACTACTTAATTTTTTATTATTATGTCGAAAATTAATAGGAGTTTTCTAATTTTTTAATTTTTGGAGTTGTGCAGACAATGACATAAGTTTTTAACATAGTTTCATCTAAACCAGTACCTTCTACTTCGAGACGATTATAGATAGGGCTTAGGCCCAGTGATAACATATTCGAATTTGGAGTGTTTTCGACATACGACTGAAAAGTTGATACTGATAAGATTGGAATTTGTTTGGGACGTAGTCATATAACCAATATGATCATATTGTAATATTATCAACATACATAAAGTTCTACCTCGAATTTCTTCATTTACTTTTTTATGAAGAATTTAGTTTGTTGTACCACATTTTACTAACTGCTTTAAATAATTTAATTATTTATACCTTATATGTCTGTATTCAGTTGGAAATTTCACATATGACTCGTAGTTTTGATAATGTTGTTGCCATAAATATAAATTCGTGGAATATTCATAATTTATCAAAATAATTATCGGTTGTACTCTTTTGGAGCTGAATAATATTTCTATCGTTAACGAAAAAAAAAAGAGATCCATGTCAGTGTTGATCATTAAAGGAGCATCAAAACATATATTACCAACTTATATGCCATCATATAAGATATATCTTTGTTCCATTTTTGTTATTAAATTTCTTGATCCTTCAATAAATATCTCCAAAGTTAGAAGATGCGCAATCTAGCCCATTCATTTCATCGTTTGATCGTACTTTAATGTGTAACTACTTTCGACGAATAATAAAGATTGATTGTGCCTTGAACCACAATTCAATAATAACTTTCATTACTGACAAAATGCCTTCTCAAACACCATATAAATTTAATTTATCCTAAATGTGATTAGCCGATATGATGCATCGAATCCCATGTGGATCACAAAAGTTCTATTTTGGCATGATACTCGACATTCTATCGTAATGCTATTCGTCAATGAACCCCTAAAATGGTACATTCGGTGGTGACGCGTGTTCGATATTCTATAATAATTCTATTGATCGATGAACTCCTAAAATAGTATGTCTAGTGGCGAATGTTCACTACTAAATAGTGTCAATAAATCTAATAATAAGTGATTACAGAGTAACCCATAGCCCCAACACATTTAATTTTGACTGATTTGAACTAAACAAATTGACAATCTTTTTGTTGCATATCATTCAACAGTATCACTTAAATATATAAGATAATCAAGTATAATTAGTACTCAATCACAAATGAAAATAAAATATTATAAGTCATATGTATGGATATTGTATTTAAAATAATAAGCTATATAATGGACATATCACATTTAATAAATCTAATTATTAGTAAAAAAACAAATAAAAAATAGCACTAGTAGAAAAAACACTTGTTATAATAATAGTGTATTTACATCGGTTTTTACAACGGATATAAACGATAGCATTTTTTGCAAAAATTCTTGTTACATCGATTTTATTTTACCCGATGTAATAAGTTCATAGTTGTCGTTTGTCACACCTGTTTTTAATAATCGATATGTCTGGTGTGCGTTTAACGAATCGGTTCTAAGAAATCGAGATGACATATTAATAAGTTGTCGTTTGATATATCATTTTTTTATAACAAATGTGCTAGGCGTGTCTTTAACACATCAGTTTTGAAAAGCCGATATCTCCAGTGTTCACTTCGCAACATTTTCCTGCATGAAAGAAAGCAAAATGTATAAATTGAAATTAAAACAACTTTCAAGTCACTTGATGATCATCTCATCAATTATTATGGTCCAGAAAGATTTGTGTGATCTTTAAATTCAAAACAAATTTGGTAATAAAAGAGAGATTGATGGGAGACATTGATATATGGTGGAAAAAATATTTATGTCACATTCTAAGTCAATTTTGTTTCTCAAAATTTTATCCGAATCTAAATACAAAGCAAGATATTGTGACATGGAGGATCTCAAAGCGTGCGAACTTGCCACTTAGGCTCAACAAATTTTGAATTAATATATAGGGGGATTACTACTGAATGATATTGGGATCTTGAAAGCTTTGTGAAAGGTTCAATTTCTCAAATTTTTATTTTCTTCACTTTATAATCTATGTAAATACTGAGTTTTGTTTTTAGTATGACTGGCCAAATTCCTGTTAGGGGAAGAAATATCTTATTGTGATTGAGTAATAGTCAAAATTTATTAATTGATGCCCTTAAATGCATTCTTTAATTGTTTAAGTGTTCAATTTTTAGTACTTATTCAACCTACTTAAGCTTTACTAGAGTGCTGAAAGGCTTCTACTTAAGCTTTCGAGATTTGGTGTTGATATTTTACCAGATATATCGGAGATGCGATTGGTCGGCATAAGTTGCACGGGATACATGGAATCCAACGAGAAGCAGAAAAGATCTACTTTGGCTCGACATTCATCATTCATTATATTGGTAGATGAACCCTAAAACACTTGTGTACTTTGGCTCGACGTTCGACATTCATTCTATTGATCAATGAACCCTGAAAACGCTATATAATTTTAACTTATGAAATAGCATTATTACACTGATCATGAAATATGCAACAAGATTTCATTAATCAAATTTTCTATTAAATTCCAATTACATTATCTTACACCTAATCTAGTATTATTCACAAACATAACTTGTTTTGTAGATAGCATAATCACTTAGATCTTGAAAAGAAAATTCATTCTATGGCTACGTCATAAGGGCTTTGTCACTTTATGTATTTTAATCAGCACATATCAACTTTGAGGCACATAAAAGACATAATTGGTTAGCAAAGGGACAAAGTAAGGTGAGGAATTATGGCAGCCCATTTGCATGCACCTTGACATGTGTTTATACTCCTCTTGCCACATTCAACCGGCCTCTATAAAAATGGCTATCAACACATCTAAAAAATACGTACACAAAAACACATCTTTAACATACACACATATAGTCTTTATTTTATAAATACACAATGGATAAGAAAAATGATGCTCCTCCTCCTCCTCCACCACCACCAACTCCTCCTCAGACGATGCTAGAAAGAAATGCTTCAATGGAGAAGATGAGTGAAGAGGATATAATTCTTTTCGAGGTTTGTGCTCGCCTTTATGTATGAACTTATTATATACATATATAACAATAAATTGCATCACATGCACGACATAAAATATTTCTATACATCACAAAATGATGATTTACTAAAAACATTTCCTACTTTCTAAAACAGGGCGCCATTCGCATGCTGCTAGACACTTGTGCACCCGATGAGGTGTCGAGGATTATAGCTGGGGTACACACTACAAAAGAATTACAATATTCCAATGAAAAAATTGTGATAATATATTCTAATAGAAACTTCAATGAATGTTTTAATGTTATAAAGCTGTCGTTTGACTGATTCCAACGAAAATATTTCGTTGGAATGAGGTTTTCATTGGAATTTCGGATGAAATTTGATATTTCTAACAACTAATTTTCAACCTTTATTTATCGTAGGAATTTCCGTTAGAATATTTTATTTCCATTGAAGTTTTTATTTCCAACCATATTCCAACCGTTGAAATCGTAAAAATCCATCGGAAATTCCAATGAAAAACTCATTCCATCGAAATATTTTTATTGGAATTTCCATTGGAATCCATTAAAAAATTCCAACAAAAATAATAACATTCGAATATCCTTTGGAATTCATGTTGAAATTTCATTGGAATATAATTTCTTTCTATTTTTCGTGATCATTACAATTACAAGCTTCACACCTTACTTTATTGATTTTCATGTTTACACTTGGAAGAAGCTCTTAATAACATATCTAACGTACAAAATAATAATTAGTGCGTGAATTTACATTTGTATCGTCTAATTTACCCAAGTAAGCATGAAATTTAGTACGCATTTATATAGTTTACCACATTTAGTTAGGAAATAAAATATTGCCCTTGTTAAATGCATGTGCCTAGCAAACTTATTATTACCTATTATCAATATTAAGATTAATTAAAACAAAAATTCATCAGTAACTCAAAATTACCAAGTATAACAAATATTAAAATCCATATCATTACCAATTAATGGGGGTGTTTAATTATCTCAGGTAACGGAAACTACTGCAGAGACCGACGGGACAACCAAGGCGGAAACTATAGAGAGAACTGAAAACTGAGGAAGCAAATGGTTTATGGTGTTCTTGACTATAATTTACCGAGTTTGCTTTCAATAAATTTTTAATTGTATTATGTTATGTGTGTCCTCTGTGTTGTTCGCCCATACATAGCATATATGTTTTTGGTTTTCATGAATCAATATTTTTCTTTCCATTTTGTATTTGATGCGAATGCATGGCAAACAAATCTGATGCGATTACGATGTTGTCATTTCACGCCCATGATTCATATTGCTAGGAAAATTCAAATGCACGTAGAATAAAAATAAAATGTTAAATCTAGACTGGTGTTGTTGGGTTCGCTATACCGCACATGGTGAAACACATCGAAAATCAAACGAAATCGAATGAGCATATATCCATAAATACTGAACTCGTCGGTTCAAGTAGCAGTTATAATGATCGGCATCTTTTAAAATCACTTAATATTACTGTTGAAACATCACTTGTGAATTGTCTCTCTTGCCTTGATTATATAAATTTTATAAGTACGAATTTTGATTTGTAAATGGCTTCAAAAATTACCTTTAATTTTCTTCTAAAACGCGACAACGGAGTGAATCGGTTCTCGGGTATGTGGTTATCGCCGTCTTCGTTCGTCTCGCCATAAGGACCCATGTTTCTTCTCACTAAGCAAGTCCACATTTTGTATTACGACTCCAAGACCAATATATCCACTAATAGAATCGCCCTGAGGATGAATCAGTAAATGAATGAATTAACAGATGAGAGTTTTGTTTTATTATTATTATATTATCCAGGAGGTCGAGAGCCTCTGTTGCTATTTAATTCAAAGAACCACGGGACGAAGGCTATAAATATGTAGAAGTCATATATGTATATATATTTATAGGATTATGTTTTGCCAAAAACTCCATACACTTTATAAATTAAAGAATTGGACCAAAGAACCACGGGACGAAGTCTATAATATGGTGATGAATTTGCAGTTACTTTCTAATTCACGATTCATGCCAAAAAAACAATGAAAAAAAAAATTACCTTACAGGAAGGACACAATTCTTTCTTAGAGCAACATCAAAACTTTTTATAGGACACAATTCTTTCTTAGAGCAACATCAAAACTTTTTATAGTAGAACGTACTGATAACATATTATAAATAGATATCCTCAAACATTCATCTATCCAAATAAATATCTCAAATAAATATCTCTTATTAGGCCCCAAATAAATATCCCAATAATAACAAATATCCCAATAATAACGTACATAACAAAATCGTGCAAATTTTTTCAAGTAGTGTATAGTGATTTAATTTTTTTTTTCATTAATTTGGTTTTTAATATTTCTGGAACCCAAAACCGTACAAAAAAAATGAAAAAAATATACGTTTGTTAAATTTAATATATACGTTTGTGAATATAATATTTGACGTTATATATTGGTGAGCCCTTAACTAAAAGGGCTTCTTAAATTTAATATATACGTTTGTGAATATAATATTTGACGTTATATATTGGTGAGCCCTTAACTAAAAGGGCTTCCAAAAATTGACGGGCAAGCCCACCGAAGTAGGGCGGAGCTCACTCGCCTTGAAATGAAGTGTGTTCATGGTAGGTGTCGGCACGACTTGCCGTCTCTATACGATCATTGGCAAGTCGCCTAAGCACCCCCGACAGGACAGGTTAAATGATCATTGAAGGCCCAAGGCCCATTTTATAAAGCTCCACAAAATCCTCTCATCTTGTAATTTCCGATGTGGGACTCAACTCTAAATTCGTGGCTGGTAGAAATTCACAAA